GTCCGTCCATCTCCATCCCCGTAGGTCTCGTTCACCTCTTCCTTGGTGCCATGGGCAAGCAGCATGACCACTGCCCGCAGGTCGTCCTCCACCACAGCCCGCAGGAGCTGCTGGCCCAGGGGCACATCCGAGTGGGGCAAGGGTGCCAGGAAGAGCTTCTGCTCGTACTTGGCCCGGATCCAGCGCTCCTTCTCTTCCCTGCAGAGGGGAAAGGGGTGTCACGGGTGGCCATGGTCCAGCCAGCTCCTCCAACGGAGCCATCCTGAACACCGCCTGCTGCCCTCCCTCCAGAGACGCCCCGCTATCTAGAGTCCCCAGCTGGAAAGACTGGGACGGGGGAGACGGACAAGGCACCAAGGCAGTGCTATCACAGCTGCCATCTCCCACCACACAAAGGGGTGCCGATCGATGTGGCCAGCGCCCTGCTATCTGCCTCCTATTCTATCCATCTGCATCTGCTGAGTGCGGCTGCTGCTCAGCACTGAGCATGCCCAGCTTCCCCTGTCCCTTGACCCCCGCTCAGCCACTGATAAGGCCCGGCAGAAAGGGCTCTTGTCTGGGTGTCCAGATGAGTGAGTGACAGGACAGCCCAGACAAGGCAGCCTGGCTCCCCTGGGCCTGCTCAGCCAGGGCCGGGCTTAACCCCTGCGCTCCCACCCAGCAGCCGCGAGAGAGGGGAGCCGCTGCTTCCGCCTGCCCCACAGGCCTCGAAGGGGCAGGCTCCTGCGCAGAGTCCCAGTGACTGGCCGGGGGGTGGCCCTATGCCAGGACGTGGAGCCGCCCCCAGCTCTGCACCAGTGACCGTGGTCGGGAGCAGAGGTCTGCTAATCTAGCGTCTCCCCCACAGGCAATCAGAAGAACGTGGCCGGCAGGGCAGGGCGGGGCGGGGCGGGGCTCCTTCGCTGGTTCACCAGGCGGGGCCCAGGAGAGGCCCCTCATAGGGGCAACCCAGGGGGCTGCAGCCCCGATGGCCACCATCTTTGGGAACCTCACCCAGGGTGCTCCCAAAAACAACTCTGTAAGCTCAACCAAATCTGCAGCAGAAAAGAGGCCGAACACACAGCAGCGCCTGGCCATGGACAGCCCTGCCCAGACCAAGCCTCAGAACCGCTGGTGGAGATGTTCTGTCTGCCACCTCTTTCTTCGGCCCAAGTGCTTGCCCAAACTAATTGCAAAAATCGAAATTTTACCTTTCTGCCTCAAACAAAAATTCCCTGCCCTGCCCTCCGACCAGATGAAGAAGATGCCCAACAGCCTGGGCGGGCAGGAGGCAGGTAGGAAACAGCCTTGTTCTCCTCCCTCTTCCCTTTCCCTTGGCCAAGATCTCATGGGGTACTTGACAGCTGAACCAGGAGTCCTGTGGAGGCTTCAGAGGTTGGCCCTTGGGTTAGAGCTGCAGTCCAGATTCCTGGAGCAAAATTCGCTCTCAAGACTAAAACAATCCCAAAGGATTGTTGCGAGGCCAAAAGAAGAGGGGAAGGATCACGGATGCCACCTTGTACTCCTTGAAGGGAAGGTTAAAATGGAGTGAGACCTCCTCACACCTCATCATTATGAAAGAAGCCACAACATACAGGTCTCCTGCCGGCTTTGACCATTCCTTTCACAAGGGAATCCATCAGAAGAAAGTTGCATTTTGACTGCCAAACATGAAGAAAACTCTCAACCTTTCCAAAGATCCATGTCTTGTACCATTTTACTTTCTAATAACCATTAGACAATGCTTTGAGTGCTATGTATGATGATTATGAACTTCCTGGATGGGTACAGAAATACCTGAATTGTGCCTTCCCCAGTTAGGAGTCCCCAGATGTGCCAGACTTAAAGTCTGAAATCTAGCACATCTGGAACATGGCAAGTTATTTTTGGCACACAAAGAGAAATACAAGCATCTTTCCAGATTTCTTTAATCAGAAAGACTTGGGTTGCATCTCTAACAAGTTCTACTTTCTAAGGTCAGGTTAGGAGGATTTAATAACTCATGCAGCTTTATTTTCTGGTCACAAAATTGTGATAGACAGGACGGAGTGAATGTTTAAAAGTGTAACAATGCAGAAAGGGTGGCTGCTTTTTTTTGGTTTTTTTTGAGGGAGGGTGTATGAGTCAGTTACTCATACCAAGGGCCTCTGTGTTTGCTTCTGGAGGACCTCAGCTCCATCCTCCAAGTGGATGCTGGAAAGGCCCCTCAGAGCGCGAAGGGTCCCGTGGCTTGTCTAGGGCTGAGGTATCACTCTCAGGCTTAGACCTTCCTAGAAGCCCCCGTGTCCCATTCACTCTAGATGTCCGGCCTCCGCCTGCCCACATCCAAGGAAGGGAGCCCACCACCCCCGCGGGACACTGCTCATATCACTGAATCGCTCTTCCTGTTATGAAGCTTTTTCTCACATCTCTGCACCTTGAATCATTGGTCTGTGTCCTGCGCTCGGGAACAAGAGAGAACAGGTCTTGACCTCCTTTCTGGGCTGAAGAGTCCTGTCCTGTCCACCCCACCCTGTCATTCTTTTCCAGATGAAACATGCCCAGCTCCTTCCATTTCTTCTAGCGTGCGTGGTGGCAGGATCTGGACACAGTACTCAGGATGGGGGGGAAGTCTGACCAAAGCAGAATAAACTGGACCAATTACTTCCTGCGATTTGGAACTTATACTTGGTTGATGCAGCCCAAAATTTAATTTTCCTATTTTTCCATTAACATCATAATGCTGGCTGATATGTGTACGTGTGTCTTTGAGTCAGTGTTGACTCCTGGCGACTGCCCGGACAAGTCTCTACAGTTTTTTTGGCAAGATTTCAGAAGTGGTTTGCCACTGCCTGCTTCCTATGGCTGAGCGAGAGTGACTGGTCCAAGGACCGTCGTCTTCTTTGTGCCTATGGTGGGACTAGAACTCACAGTCTCCCAGTTTCTAGCCTGATGCCCTAACCACTACACTGGACTGGCTCTCTAACATCGGCTCATATTCACTCCGTAATAACTACAGTTCTAGTGTCTCCCTTCACAGATGCTACCATTAAGCCAGACATTCCCCAGCCGCAATAAAAAATGAGATAAGTTTAATATGGCAAGATTTATTCTCCACAAATCCAAGCTAATTTTTAGCAATAATGACACTGTTTCCAAGGTGCTTCCAAGTTCAATTCATAGGGATCTAAAATATTGCCTGGTACTGACATCTGTGAGCATGAAACTGAGCAAACTCAGGGAGGCAGTGAAGGACAGGAAGGCCTGGCGCGATATGGTTCATGGGGTCACGAAGAGTCGGACACGACTTAACGACTAAACAACAACAACAACTGACATCTGACGGTGGCTTCCTGGATCCTCCTTGACCCTGTCTTCAAAATGGGGGACATCTGGGACGTCACCAATTCTCCAGGATTCCTCAAAGATAATACCTAAGACTTCACCCAAGCCATCAGCTTTTCTTCAGTATTAACTGGATCCTGGAGATTTAAATAGTTTAAAGAGGTTTTCCGAAACCGTGTTTGTCTCGCTCTCAAGTTTTGATCCTGCCCATCCTGCTCTTGATG